GCGAGATGTTAACATTTCGTTTAATCTTCTCAATCGCTGACGTAAAACAAACAAGCACATTTATATAGCACATTAGATTTGTAAATCCTAATGAACGGACATGTACAGTTAGACAGGGACTATTAGAATTAAAAAAATACAAGTCAACTCCACGGCAAGTGAACTGATTGGATCAACAACTTTTGGGCGCACAGAACGGGATTATGTAATCGGATTAGCAATGCCTCACTTATCGCCAACAGTTTTGCATTACAACTACGTAACAACGGTTTGAAAGAGGAAGCGGGATCAATTATGTGCTTTGTTGTCATGAGGTGTTTTGCAATTGATGACCCCTGGTTGTTACGTAACTGTAATGCAAAACTGTTGACGATAAGTGAGGCGTTGCTAATCCGATTACATAATCCCGTTCTGTGCGCCCAAAAGTTGTTGATCCAATCAGTTCACTTGCCGTGGAGTTGACTTGTATTTTTTTAATTCTAATAGTCCCTGTCTAACTGTACATGTCCGTTCATTAGGATTTACAAATCTAATGTGCTATATAAATGTGCTTGTTTGTTTTACGTCAGCGATTGAGAAGATTAAACGAAATGTTAACATCTCGCGACATATGTCTTCTTTCGGCTTTGATACTGAAAGTTTCCCAATTTCAACATAAGACTTCAATCTGCCAAACAACAATATGAACCGTGACCGGTTCAATTATTTTGTTAGGATATGGAGCATTTATTTACGTGAAAAAATGTGGACAATGCGAACAGTTTTTGGACACGCTAAAGTTTATGCGTAGCAATTCAGTGGGATGTTCCATACTATCACCCAGTAACTAAGGCTAAACAGAGACGTTGGTGTGAGTAAGTAGGATAATACATAACTGAAAGAGAAACAGCGCGAGAGAATGGTCTGTTTGTTTTATGAGGGGGACGGAAGATTTGATTTGATTAGATGATGAATTTGTCGTGTAACGGAGGTGTGAGTTGAAAAGCTCGGAAGCACAGCTGGACAGCTGCTTTGACCGAGTTGGGTCTCGTCAGCAGTACGATTCAGTCAGGTTGTGGAAATGTGAAACCGAGTCATAACTCTGGAGGTTAGTGCTGGGATGAGCGAGGTCCGTTGTCCGCAACAAGCTCGTAAAGATGAGTTGTGCTATATCGTGTCTATTCCAAATAAAAAACGGTCTGATCAGCTGCCCGGTAACCCAATGGGTAGTATGCTTGCGTTCTACCTGAGGTCGCGGATTCGTGATCCCCAGTTGGATCGAAACTGCTGTCCAGTGCTTCCTAACTTTTCAGTTTACGCTNTCGCTATATGTATATACGACGATTTCGTCACATAACGCTATGTTGCTGAACACAGTATTCGGCAGTTTCGACGTGGACGATATGTTTGCAGTGAACAATTTGTTTGCTCTCTGGATGACGGTTGAACGATCCCTGTAGCGACTGAATATACAACCGTACCGTCGGATACAAATGCGCGCAGATTTAGGTTTGCCGCTTAGTGGGCGAAATATAAAATGTGCATCAGGGACATGATCAGATATCAGGAATACCTCAGGAAAACGCGGTGAAGATCACGATTTGTTAGCGGTACAAGACTTAACACTCCTTCGGGGTATCGCTTGAGGTACCGTATGGAGTGCACCTTTTGTTTCATCACTAGTGTGTGACAGATACAACCTCTCAATTGTCAGAGTTGCTTTGTGGGGACCAATCATCAGTATCATTATCATTATCATCGTACAGCGAAATATTTGTGACGCTTGGAATCTAGGTGGAAAAAAACACTGGATTATTCTGATATTGGTCAAACAGTTCAGAAAACCATTTACCACCATTTACGTCACGGTAGAGTTCGAAGCTAGTCCAGGAAAACAGAAAAAAGCGTGAAATCTGAAGTTGCACTAACAAACAGAGGTCAAGTGTGGTNTCGCTTCACTATAGCAAGAAGATAACGCACTGGGGATATATTGTATAGTCTTGACCCAACTCCATCGGAGACAATAAAGAGTGGCAAAAATTGACCGTAGGGCATAAAGCCGACCTAAGGTATGAACACTTGAAAGAGAGTGGTTGATCATTTCACTCTGGACGTCTTTCCAATACAACGTATCTTGCTAGGGAACACATAATCGTCTCGATATGACAATTGTATTATATATATTCATGTAGATTTTCACTCAAGTCTGAATCCAGACTGTACGACAAACAAATCATAACCATTAGATAGTTCACGTCACACCTCAGTGTGATGTCCCTTGCACCTCACGAAATGTTCCCATACGACCAAGCGTCTAAAACAGCCTCTCACGAGGAAGCCCTACGCATTGCCTTCGCGTGGCGGGAGTGTTTTCCCACCAAGGTGAGAGAACGAAAAGCCGACATCCGGGGCTATAACCGAGTTGGAGAACCACTGGTAGTTCACCTAGGGGAGTTGGCTAAAAACCATGATTCCAAACCAACCATGAGGAGGCATACGAACCGCACATCTCCTTTGTAGCAGTGGTCACCGGCTCGATTGAGCACCTTGGAGGTTTGACTCCGTCCAAAGGGCGGATGATCCGATGAACTGGACACCGGCCATCAATGGATTGCGGTTTTCGAACACCGACCCGCTGTCTTACGGGTCAGGCCTTGGTTAGCCGAAGGCTCCGGTTGTAGATTCCTCAAGAAAATTCATCTGCCTTGGCCTGGGTAACCTGGCAGTATTGCGCCCACATGCAAATCATCTTTCTTTTCCATAAGGATTATTGCACAATGATTTATTTGGCACACAGTCTGGATTCAGACGTGTGTATAAATGTCCGGTCGTCGTCGTTGTTCTTGTTGTTTCCGGACACATGATACAAGTGAGTGCAGATCAAACGAGGCGAAAATTGCACACCATGTGCGAATGGGCAAACAACTCACCTTTCTGGCTATGGCCGGTTGACGACTGAATTCTTCACCCCATAATTTCGCATCCATTTGCAAGCGCACATCATCAAAGTAGACATTTGAGTCGACCGAATCGATGTAACGCTTTGCGACCAAATTGGAAGCGTGGGACCAGTCATTGCTCAGTGAGAAGTTGGACAACTTTTTGCTAAACATTGCATCATGTCCGATGCATTGATTTGAGGAGGAGAGAAAAATGGAATAACGAATTAGAAAATGAAATAATGCGAACCTTAATCTCATTCATTGTAGTCAATTTTTTACGCATGCCAAGCAAAACATGCCAATAGGAAGGAATACCAATTAAGCCCCCATTCTGTCGTTCCAAAAGTCCATGAATGAGTTCAGTTTGAACAACCATTAACCACGCAGATTCGTGCGCCGGTTTTGGTTGCTGCCTTTTGGCTACCCATTGGGATGAAGAATACGAGAAGAAAGGAAAGTTGAAAGTGGAGTCGAAAAGAAAATGGAGAAGTTCAGTGGTCTACAATTGCAAACAGATTGAGAAGATGCACGAACGCCACTGGTTGCGACACCCAGCCATATCAATCAGTGTCTCTAACCATCGGGTACGATCATC